TCCATTGTGTGTCCCCCCCCCCCCCCCCCGACTCATCGCTGGAAGTTTTTTAAATGCGTTTTGGTTTTTCCACGTCTCGCACGGTGGTTCGCCGCATAATTCTTCTATTTATTTATTTTATTCCCTCCTCCCCTCTGTAGAGAACGACTTTAGAAAGTGTTATAATTCACAGTAAATGTGCGTTGCCTGTGTTCGGCAGATCTTGCACCTTCCGAGCGGCTCCCATAAATCGGGAGTATTACATTCCCCCGAGCGTTGAGCCGGAGATTTAGGATTCTAATTCAGTTTCATGTTATTGCTCTGAATATCCTTTCACCAAAAACAAAGAACTTCTTTTTAAAATTGTCGGCACATTATATATCCGTCAGAAAAGTTTCTCCATCACACCGTGTATAAATTAATTTAGAGATTATATGCTATTTACAGGTGCTGAGCGAGGAGAATGAGCGTGCTTTCAAAGCTTGACTTCCGCTACAATTTTGTGTTTCAGATTTGGGTAGAGTAGGGAAGAGGTACCATGCCTATTAGGTTTTTATTTGTACTTATGCCCCTGCTGGAGAGATCTCCCTCACTTCCTGTCATAGTGACACTCTTCACACCCCAACATGTAGGTTGGGTTAAAGGAAAACTATGAGGTGAGTGCTTTTCACTCATCCTCATACTTCTAGCCGACCTGTGACAATGAGACTGTCACAGGTCGGCTCAGTAGATCGGGAGGTGAGCGAACACATACCGGCGTTCGCTCACCTCTCGATCCTGTCACGGCTTTCTGCCGTGACAGGGGAGGCCTGGATTCCCCCCTCCCCACTCCGATCCGCCAGCTCTGACTGGCGGAACGGACGGGGGAGGGGGCGGGTACAGCTGGGTCTGCCTCTAGATAGGCAGAGCCAGCTGTCACTCACGCAGCTGGGCGGTTCTCGACATCGATAACCCCATAGTTCTCCTTTAAAGCGGACATTAACCCCCTTTCACGAAAAATCACATCAGCACGCAGCTCTGCATGCTGAAATGAAATCATCTTGCATTCATTAGTTAAACATATTTTGCTTTTACTTAGTTTCTCCACTTCCTGGTTCTCTTGGGCATTAGTGATGCATACTGTGCCCAAGCGTTGCATCCTGGGAAGGCTACAGGTAGCGTTTGCTGGATCCAGAGTCAATAACTTGCACAGAGTGACTGACACCCTGAAGCCAAAGGCCTACCATAGCATTTAGAGGTGCCACACAATTCCCTCTGATCTGGTTGGTCAGGGGTCCATTCTACAGCAGCACCAAAACAAGCCTCCAGGCTGTGTCAGAACAAGCTCAGAAGAAAAGAACGAGACAGTAGGCTTCAAATCCTAGAATGTCCACCACAGTCCCCAGACTCCAGAAATCATCTTGCATTCATTGAATATACAAACATATTTTCTTTTATTTACAATGATTGTTTTTCTACTTCCTGGTTCTCTTGGGCGTTAGAGATGTAATGTGCCAAAGCATTGCATCCTGGGAAGGTTACATCAGCAGAGCATTGCTGAGAAATCTCATCTGTAATCTCATGAGATCTCAGGGAAAGGCATTTTCCTCCCCTGAGATGATGTGCATGGTCACATGTCCGAGTCGCAATGTGCCAGAGTTCCAGGAAGTAAAGGGAGATATGTTACTCTACCCTTAGTAAAAATGGCCACTGTGAGAAGAATGGGGAGGAAAAGTAAATCTAATGGCCAGAGGTTTCAGGTATTTTGTTACAGGCTTACTTCTTGTCATGAGCAGAATAAATGCTTGTATGTGCTGTTTTTATTTTTCACTGTTTCTTTTGTCTTTGTAGCATGCAGCATGTATACCGGAAGGACGTGCGAAGAGTGCTTGAAGAATGTTTCTGTGAGTATAATGGGGGATCGACTACTTATTTCAGTTTTTTGCTCCACCATGGCCAATTGGGAAGCAAGCTATCTGGTGATGTGGTGGTCCAGCTTTTTGCACCGGTCCTATCACAACATAGGAGCTAGCAGGAGAAGACGGAGCGGTATAGTGCCAGAACATTAGTTTCACTTGTGCTCAGGCATTTGGCGCCACTGTGGAGCTGGGCGGTGGCACCAACATCAAGTGTCACACAAGATTGTATTTATGCGTTTGTGTGAGTGCAGTGTATCGAGCCGCTAGCGTAGGTATCGCATCCGAATACATCAAGCTGTGTAGAGGTAACTTATGAAGCCTTCTGCCACATTAAGGAGGACCTAAGATGTGGCAAGTGAGCAAAAGACTAGTCGCCAGTATTACCCAGCAGTGGTGTAACAATACCCATAGCGGCCTATGGGGCCTGGGGTTGGAAGGGGGCCCCAAAAAGGATTACAGAAGTTGCTGACATTATTAATCAGGAAGAGCTGACATCAAGTGTACGGGCGGCGGCTATGCAGGCAGCTCTCCTGCTACCTGACTTTAATATCATTGACAGAAGAGAGTTTGCTAGCCCTGACCCCACAGTTCTCCTTTTAACAAAAATGTGTCTTATTTGTGTATCACTCGGCTGGAGATCCTCAAATCATCTCTGAATTGGTGCTGACACTGTCCTTCCTTCTGGAGGGTGGCTACTTTTGTTCCCCATGGTCCCTGTGTGTGTTGTAAAGTAGTCACCGCTCGAAGCTCGCTCCTGTGATGGCCTACAATCTCAATGCAGATTAGTAAACTAAAGGTGTGATTTGTAGTCCATCACAGCAGCAAGTTTAGTGTCCCTTCGAACATTTCTAGATGTCCCCCAGTAGAAAGCATACAATTATATCTGTAGAACTTCCCCATAAAATAGCATATCTTTTACTTTTTGCATTCAGGTCCACTTTAAGGCCTTGTTCACACGAATGCGGTGCGTTCCAGAGCGGTAGCTGCTGGAACGCACCGCAATCCCTCACAAAACTTCCCCCTGCGTTTTGGGGCGGGAGGGGTGGCGGTGCATTGAATTCTATGACACTGCTTCAACGCCCGCAGTGCGATCGGACGTGTGGTAAAACTTTGCCTGCGTTCCGTTCCACTGCAAACGCAAAAAATAGGGCTTGCTCAAAATAGCAGTTTGGCTTTTTTTTTTTTAACCTTCTCCTAAGCAGCTTTCAGAAGCAGCAAAATGCAGCAGTGGGCATGCAGAAAAAAGGCACATTTATAGATTTATGGGGGAAAAAAGACACATGGAGCAACTTAGAGCTGTGTTGATTACAGGCTGCGTTTTACCATGCATGTAAATTGGTTTAAAGGAGAACTATGGGGTTAAGGCTTTTCCGCATAGTTCTCCTTAGGGTAAGGGGAGGACACAAACTAGCGTCCTCCTGTCACCCTAGGCTCAGTATACCGCGAGCAGCTGCTCTTGGTATACTGAGACGCCGCAGCTGAAGCGGATCCCGACAATTGTGCCGGGATCCGCCCAGCTGCGTGACTGACAGCTGGCTCTGCCTATCTAGAGGCAGAGCCAGCTGTACCTGCCCCCTCCCCGTCCATCCCACCAGTCAGCGCTGGCGGATCGGAGCGGGGAGGGGGGAATCCAGCCCCTCCCCTGTCATGGCAGAGAGCCGTGACAGGATCGAGAGGTGAGCGAACGCCGGTATGTGTTCGCTCACCTCCCGATCTACTGAGCCGACCTGTGAAAGTCTCATTGTCACAGGTCGGCTAGAACTATGAGTTGAGTGAAAATCACTCACCTCATAGTTCTCCTTTTAAGAACTATTCATGCCAGCAAGTAGGATGCCTGAATGGCGTCAGTATGGCGAGTTCTGACTCATAGCGATTAAGTGAAGTGGAAGTCTCTCCGGGTAAAACTGATATATTTTTGTGATCTCTTTGTTTGCAGTGTCTGTGGTGTACAGCAAATAACACCTGTCTGGACTATCCTGTGAAGACGCTCTTTCCTCCCTCGTCTCTATGTGCCCTGTCCAATGCAAGATGGGCAGCTTGCTGGAGTAAGTAATCTTCCCATCACCAAGCAGTCCAACTATAACCAATTCGCACAGCCATTGGCCCTGCGGATCCCTGTGAATGTTCGTTCTGGGTGAATGCATGCACAACATTAACATTCTTGCTATATTTTCTTTTATAAGTCAAATATATTTTTTAAAGTCCTCTTGTAATACTGGATTATGGTCACTACATGGAGCATAGGAGTATTTGTATTATATTTTTAATTTTATGTTAGATTTTGATAGAGGGGGGTAAAGGATAAAGGCTAAATCTGGGTGGTTCCCAAATGATTGAATGGAAAGTTTTACTTGCCTTAATCCCTATTTCCACAATCTTCCTTCTGTTTGTAATGACCGGTGTGGCTGTATTGGAAATGGTGGCCCACGTCAATGAATGACCATGCGCAAACAAACCTAAAAAAGTCTGTTGGCTACTAGGTTGGACTGTCTGACTCCGGAATTGTTGTTTTTGTCCACCTTGGTATATGTAAAATGTCACCATTTGCTCCTTTTTAACCCTTTTGCTGCCAATAACTAGGGATGCACTGATACCGGTATTTAGGTATCGAGCACCGATATTAATTTCTCGGTACTCGCCAATACCGAGTACCGGAAGTCCCATTCAGAAAGCCAGGCCGCGTGTAATGACTGGCCACCTGGCTTCCTGATTAGCTGGGAAGCCGGGCGGCGTGTAAAGATTCGCCACCCGGCTTTCCAATGAGCAGGAAGCAGTCTTCAAGCTTCTCGTCACTATGTGACGAGAGAGCATGAAGCCGGCTTTCTGGCCAATCAGAAAACCGGGCGCCGTGTAATGACGCGGCACCCAGCTTCCTGATTGGCCCGGAAAGGCGGCTCCATGCTCCCTCGTCATGAGGTGACGAGAGGGCAGGAAGCCGGCTTCCCGGGCCAATCGGGAAGCCGGGCTCCGCGTCATTACACGGCACCTGGCTTCCTAATTGCCCGGGAAGCTGGCTCCATGCTCCCTCGTCTACTTCTCGGCCAATCAGGAAGCCGGGCAGCGTGTAATGACGTGGCTACTTGGCATCCGCACCGATACTCGGTGGCGGGCCCCTCTGAACAGACTCCCGGGATAGCTCTGGAAAGCCAACGGTCAGCTTTACACTGGGAGCGATTCTGGTGGGTGCACGGTGCTTGCCCGACACCTGCCGCCTTGCTTCCCCGGGCTCCGCTGCCCCTTCTGTGGGCCTAGAACTGGTATCACGGGTGCCAGCGGGTAGAGAGGGGAGAGAGAGAACGGTGAACATCTCTTCACCTCCTCGCTGCTGAATGTAGTTGGAATCGACACAGATTTCATCTCTTCTGGTTCCTCAGCTAGAGAATGGGAAAGGTAACACTAGGGTTTTAATAGACCTCAATGTCACCTAAAAGGGGACCTGTCACTACTCTTATACGATCACATAGGGTGCTTGTCAGTGTGATAGCAATATAGTGGAGTAAAAAAAAAAAAAAATTTAAATACAGAAAGATGTAAATTCCCCCATGAACGCATGCATTGTAACGTAAACATGCGTCGGGTGTGCCTACCGCATTGGTTATTCCGAATTCACTTACTGTATGTAGGTGACATCTGATAAATATGCATGGAAGTCTCTTGGGAGATTGTGCTACGAGTCAGATGATGGCGCCCCTCTAAAAGGGACTGACATTCAGTCTTTCCGATTGGATAGAAGAGGCCTGGCCTGCTCTGAGATTTTTATATTGGGAATTTCCTCCTAATTGGCTTAATTAAAGGGTCAGTACAGATAAAATACAGTTGGGAATCGGGATTGTGTAAAAGAATTGATGTTTTAATATGTGTCGCCTGTCATCACAAGCTTATCTGAAGAGAAGTGATTTGTGTTGGGGGGGATGACCGGGGTTAATGGGGATTTCCTGCTTAACCATACACCATAATTTCCATCTGTCAATGCTAAACCTGCTTTAGTTGGTTGTACAAAGATAATGTAAAGCAGAACTTCAACAAACCTCTATATACACAAATGAAATACATATAGGGGAGCTCTTTTAGCTGTCGAAGGATTAGTATCTCTGTCCATCCCGTCTTCAGATTTACACAGCTCAGCCACAGTTCAGGTAGGAGGATGACACCACTAACCATTCAGGAATACAGCTGTCATCTCTTCACTCCATCCTGCATATTTCACAGTAAGGTCTCATTCACAGTGGCAAGAGCCGGCCCGTACAAATCCGTGCGGCCGCATCGGGCCGCTCCCAAGTAGGACAGGTGCTGCGTGTGATTCCATGCAGCAGCCTGTTCTTCTCTATGGGAGTAGGCCGTCCTGCGCTCATCCAAACTGCACATCTGTGGGGCTGTCCGTACTCGTACGCAGGCAAGATGGATCCGTGTGGCTCTTACCAGTGTGAATGAGCCCTAAAGGAGCAGCAGGAGACCAATGAGGTCCTGTCTCTACTTACTCCTCCTGGTGGCTTGTTCCTTATAAGCGCACGTGTATGCAGCAGGCCTGATTAGCTTCAAAAGCTCCCCCTCCCTCTCCCAGTCTGAGTGCTGCAACACAATGGATTGATGGCTTGTTCACCAGATCCAGACCAGGTTTGGTTTTGTTTGTTTTTGGTGCAGGTAAAAAAACATACAGTAATTACAATGGTAAAACCGAGGCTAGTTCACACCATTGCGTTCAGTTTCAGAGCTTATAAAAAGCATGTAAATGCACCAGAACGCATCAAAAAAGTACATGACCATGTTTACAGAAACGCAGCCAGTTCTGGTTTGGAGATGGTGTGAACAAGCCGTGAAGGTACGGGGAAACAACGCGATTTAACAGCCTTTGAACGTGGGATGATTGTTGGCGCTCGGAGCCATGGAGCGAGTATCAGCAAAACAACAGAATTCGTTAAATGTTCAAGAGCAGCTGTTGTTAAGGTGTTTAAAGACTGGACTGTCAGCCGAAAATCTGGGTCTGAACGTGCGAATTGTGGCCGTCAGCGACTAGTCAATGTTAGGGCAGAACAGAGAGTGGCAAGACTGGTACAAGACAACAGAAGGGCAACAGTGCAGTGTCAGATTCCTCGCATCACCTTTCAACATCTCGTGGAGTCACAAGGCGGCCCAACGAAGTCATCTCGGGTGCCCAACGAAGTACTGATGGGGTGGCCCTAATAATCTGGCCACTCAGTGTATAAGATCATTTTTGATTGGATGGAACATTTTCTATTCAATGGCTACTTAGAGTGCAAGGAGCAAGCATTGTGATTTTCTTTCTTAATTTCCAGACCCCCTTTTTAATTTTTTTTTCTTGCTAGGTATGTGAAAACGAATGGCCTTATGGTACCTTTTACGCTATTTGTATTTCTTATTTATTTTTACTTTGTTTTTAAATTTTTGTTACTTTTTTATTTGTGTTTTTATTTTTATTTTTTTCCCAAACTTTATTTTAAGTTTTCAATTATAAGAATAAAATACAAGGGATGTAAACACAATACAAATACATTACAGGAAAAGAGAACAGTGTGGGAAGGCTATCTGTCAATATAGCATCAACATTTACCAATATACAATGGGAAAGATGAGCTGGTAGTGTCATCCCGGATCAAACCTTACGTGGTGGACCATAAGCGGATACCTTGTGTGTACGGGTATCTAAATTGGGTTTTGTGCCATTTGTGTTAATTTTACGATTGAAGAATATAAAGTTCCTGGACTGTATTGCGACAGGATCAAGTACTAAGTAATGTTGCTTTTTTTTAAAATTACATTTCAACAAAACCTTATTCTGGTTAAAAATAGGCAAATGGACTATACACTTATGGGTGCGCCACTAGGGAAGTCAGAAACTGAGAAGGATTTGGGGGTCATTATAGACCGCAGATTGAAGAATAGCTCGCAGTGCCAGGCTGCTGTAAACAAAGCTAGCAGAGTCCTGTCTTGCATTAAGAAGGGAATGTATTGCAGGGACAAGTCTATAATTTTGCCACTTTACAGATCAATGGTTCGGCCTCACCTGGAGTATGCGGTCCAGTTTTGGTCACCAATACTCAGAAAGGATGTCCTTGAGCTGGAAAAAGTCCTGAGGAGTGCAACAAAACTCATTAAGGGGTTCGAGGACCTAAACTAAGAAACAAGGCTGTTAAAATTAAATATGTTCTCGTTGGAGGTTAGGAGATTACGGGGGGACATGATATTCTTGTATAAACTGTGCAATGGTGACAGCAACATTGTTAACAAACTGTTCACGGTTAGCTTCGTAACAAAGACCAGAGGGCCCCAACAAAAATTGGTGGAAAAAAAATTTCAACACACAGGGCGCAAGGGGTTCTTCACAGTTAGAGCGGTTAAGGTCTGGAACTCGCTGCCCCAGGAAGTGATTTCAGCTAAGAGTGTGGAATCATTCAAGAAACTCCTGGACGAGTTCCTCGGAGAGCATAACATACAGGGGTACAGATACGCCTAAGAACAAGATCACACATGGACTCATACACACGCACACACCTGCTCGAACATAAATGCACACACACAATAGGTTGGACTTGATGGACTTGCATCTTTATTCAACCTCAAATACTATGTAACTATGGTTTCTTTCCATCAGATGGCACTAGAGAGCCACATTTCAATTTACAGCTCACTTTAATAAGGTCACACTAAAGGTACGGTCAAAATCTATTGAATGCCTATAAAAGTTGTGGAACATATTTTATTGTGCACAGAGAACACAGGACCGACAACCAAAGGACAAGGACTTTTTTTAGAAAATGTCCTCCATTGCCACAATGTTTTTATTTTTGTTGTTGGTTGGTCAAAACACAAACTTAAAGGGTCTGTAAACCCAGACATTTTGGTATCATGGCCTCTCTGTAAACAGGTTTCGTTATCAATTCTTTATATTTTAAATCTTTTTCATTTTCCTGGAGATCCTGCCATAATGGCACTTCCTGTTGCAAGCTGACTTGTGCAGTATAAACAATAAACACTCTACAATCCTCGCAAGATTGTACTGAAGCCCAAAAAAAGAAAAATGGTTCGG